TCAAGGTTCCTCTGCGGTACTGGATGTCGAAGTCATATTGTTGTAGATATATGCTCCATTTTGCTAGGCGGCCGATCGGACTTTTGACGGAGTGAAGCCAACGCAGTCACTGGTGGTCGGTGATGACGGTAAAATGGTAGCCTTCCAGGTATGGCCTCATTTTTTCAATTCCCCACACGATGGCTAAACATTCCTTTTCGGTGGTGGAATAATTTTTCTCGGCATGGTTGAGGGTGCGGCTAGCATATGCCACAACATGTTCGGATCCCTCAACATTTTGGGTCAGGGCCACCCCTAGGCCAATGTCGGAAGCATCGGTCTGGAGACGGAACGGTATGTCAAAATCGGGGCAAGTCAAAATCGGGGCTTCGGTGAGACACTTCTTCAGAGCTGTAAAAGCTTGCTCTTGCTCTACAGTCCATTTCCACCGGTGGTTCTTCTTAAGTAGTCGTGTCAGTGGAGCGACTACTTCGGAGAATGACGGTACAAATCTACGATACCAGGAGGCTGTACCTAAGAAACGGCGGACATCTCGGACGTTCTTCGGGGTTGGAAACTTCTGTAGCAGGGAGAGTTCTCCCACCGGAGTATACGGGGTTGTCGGTGGTGCCCTATGAACTTCTTTGTTGTTTAAGTAAATAGTATTACTCAATAAGTCCATCCTGAAATTGTTGCGGCTCAAAATATCCATCCCAATTATCATATCGGATGTTAAGTCAGGTAGGTGATGTATCAATTGGGAAAACTTGGTTTTATTTATGGAAAACTTCAACTGGTATCCACCACGAACGGATACTCTTTGCCCATTGGCCAAAACAGTAGTCGGTGTTACTATCTCTTGAAACGGTAGGCCTAGTTCTGTGCAGTAGTCAGCTATCTTATTACTTATATAAGATAGCAAAGCTCCGGTATCTACAAGTGCGGAAAAATGTCTGTCATTNTGAAATTGTTGCGGCTCAAAATATCCATCCCAATTATCATATCGGATGTTAAGTCAGGTAGGTGATGTATCAATTGGGAAAACTTGGTTTTATTTATGGAAAACTTCAACTGGTATCCACCACGAACGGATACTCTTTGCCCATTGGCCAAAACAGTAGTCGGTGTTACTATCTCTTGAAACGGTAGGCCTAGTTCTGTGCAGTAGTCAGCTATCTTATTACTTATATAAGATAGCAAAGCTCCGGTATCTACAAGTACGGAAAAATATCTGTCATTTATTTACACTTGTATGTGTGGGCGGTTATCGGCTCCGGTGATGGCTGCATTATGAGATGGTGAAGGCTGGCTGCATCTGCAGTCGCGGGACATCACACCATTTCGTCCACATCTGGAACAAAACAATCTTGACGGGGCTCGGCATTCGAAACGGTTGTGGCCAGGTTGACCACACCTCCAGCAAATGGTGCGTCGGTTCGTAGTGCTAGGCGACGGCGACGGCGACGGTGTCGGTTGTCTAGGCTGAGTCTCGCGTGATTGTGGGGGTTGTTCACTAGGTCTCTCGGGGACAGGTGCTGGCCTGGATCTATGTTTTTCAGCCGGACTGGGTCTATATGACGGACGGGGCTGAACTGGTTCTCGGTCTCTTGGAGGGGGCAACTCTTTTCGGTCTGTATTATAACTTGGTGATGAATTACGGTACTTGAGCTCTTTACTTAGCGTCTCAAATTCATCAATGTGGACTACTAAGTCGCTTGGGATCGCGATGTCGCTCTGTCTTATATATTGCCGGTATTCTGGTAACAGGTTTGCATATAACCGTCGCAAAGTTTTCTCTCGCAAAAATCCTCCGTGGCGGCGGATTAAGGTTTGCAACGCCACAATATATTCTTTTCCGGTTTCATTAGCGTTTTATTTGCGTTGCTGTATCTGTTCCTCCAGGAAATCTTGATAATTTGTTGGTAGATAAAATAATTTGAAATCGGTTAGAAATTCTCCCCACGTGGTCCAGGAATCTCGGTTATTTCGGTACCATGCCAGTGCATTGCCTTGAAAAACTTCAAACAGGGCTGGTAATAATTCAGCGGTGGAAATATTACTCTTCTCTTGCAGCTCATATAATTTTTCCAAAAATTCGGTGGCATCAGTTTTCCCATTAAATTACAGCTTCCAAGTGCGGACTTTATCGCATACATCCCCAATGTTGGAATTTATAACGGCCCTCCGGGTGGAATGTATATGCGGCTGGAAATGCGGTGACTGTTCGGTATCGGGGTCAGAAGAAGCAGATGTGTTGGGTTGATTTTTCCCTGGCTTGGGATAACCCTCTCGGAAAAATGTCTCTAATCTTTTCCTTAGTGTCGGTAGCGTCCCCTTCGTCGTCAAAGAGAATTTTTCCAGCTCTCTAACTAGCTCGTCTTTCTTGAGCGTATAAATCCAGCTCACTTTTGCTGGCTGCGGTTCGTCGTTACTGGAGTCGGCGGATCTTTCAGGTCTTCCTGGGGGTGGCAGGTTATTGCGGCCGGGATCGGATGGCATTCTAATAGCTTACTACAATTCAGCCAGACGTCTCAATAAAATAAAGTTGGTATCGGTAGATAGGGATAACCTATCTCGGAAACGGTAGCTCGGATTGCAATAAAACTATCAGAAATCGGTTGTGCACCTCTGGTTTACTTAAAAATGAGGGGTCACTTGCTATGTTCCCCCCAAATCCTAACTCCGGGAAACTCCGGGTGAAAATCCGGGTAAAATGTCAAAACCGGTGTACGTGCTCTATTTGCACTCTGGGTATGAAAGA